AATCAAAATCAGCATGTCGGGACCACATTATCTGCAATTGACTAAGTGATTGTGAACCTTTCTTTCATCAAACTATTATTATTCAATTTTATCATCAATAGTGCATAAAAATATGCAAAACTGTTTTCTACTTATTTCTCATTTCGCTCAAACTGATTGATCCCGTCTTTCTGAAAAAGCATGATTTAGAAAAGTTTACAAAAAGAATTTTTTTTGGTTTTCCCAAGAAAAATCATTTCGTTCAAAAAAGAATCTTTTTTCTCAGCTTTGCAAATTGTGCTAGATTTTTGGGCTTAGTTTTTAGTTACGTTTTTAGAATGTGCAATTGACCTACCATAAAATTTCTGGCCTTTTAAATTCTTAGAAGTGTTTTACAACCATTTGGTATTACGATTCTTCATCGTAGCACTTCTGTGGAACTTAGCTAGCAATTCTAGCACATTCTTCAGCAAGAGAAAAAGCTAAAAGCTCTCCGCTAATAGCTTCCAGGTGCTTCCACAAATTTTGCTTTGAAGTGGTTTTTTTCGCAGGAATCTCGCGCTTTTGTGTTACTCGGAACAATTCTGAGATTTTTTTGTTCCTTCAACAACTCAAATGTCATTTGATGAATCTAGCCTCTCGCTGTTATTTGAAGACTTTTTACAACTTTGCTAGAGAGTTCATATGTCACCTCATGGTTACTCAGACTATACGATGAGTATGAATGTACGATGCAGAATCGAATTCGCATAAATCGAAGAAAAACAAGGGCGAAACGGAACGAAACCCTCGCTAAACCGTAGATTAAAAAACACTTCGCAGTGAGAAGAAGAATATCTCGCGGCGTTGGAATGACTAATGTGCCGTCGCTCTGCCGCTCAAGTATCCCACACGTCTCTACGCCGCATGGCACAATCTTGAAACTAAGTCCCTGGTGGCTACATTCACCGACATCGCTTCAAAATTTCGCTACATATCGAATTTTGCTCTTGGAAACTCTCCAAATAGCATCTATTTTGAGCTTATAGATTCTTATGCGAAGAACATGCGTAAACTTACCACTTATATTGAGACTAGGAGAGGCCAAATCGCTTCGCACGCCTTATCAAATGAAGCTTGAACGCGTATTTAACAAGTTTAAACTTGTAATCTATCTATATTAGGATCATTTGCGATTTGTACCATGAAAGAACAAGTTTAAGCTCGTTTAGACAATATTTGAAAAGCGGTTTTGAGTATCCTAGTCTCAGTATGAATCATCTGTACAATTCGTCTGAGTGTCACGTCGTGTTCTTGCGTAGTCGACAACATTTGCGCGTAAAAATTAGCCGTGGGGCGCAAAACACAGGACTTAACGCGAAGTGGCCACTTTTTACGCGCAAGAGTTGTCAGCATACACTTTTGTCGCGCAAATGTTGTCGGCACCGTAGGAGCACCATATCAAGTTAATATTGATATCCAGCTCTATATATGGATAGAAATAGTTATGCTTCTGATGCTGACAACTCCTTTCATCAATTGTGTCATGCATGCATTGCGGTCCACACTAAGTTTACATACAATCAGCAAGCAGATTTGATCTGCATTCTAAAGTTGGAAAATTTATGACTTTTCTTTTCTAAAGTTTTTTTATTCTTGTTCCTCAGGGATTTGCTGTCTAGGTCATCATGAAAGCCAAAATTGTCTATGTTCAGAAGCTTTAGCCCATTTTGGCGTGAATACATGCGTAATGCCTGCAACCTTCCCCTTTGACACGATCAGTAAAATGCCCATAAACAGCCATAAATCGATAATTTTAGGCAATCAACTCTTACTTCTTTGCAAATTAGCGTCAACTTCGGCTTCTTCTCTCTGTCTCTTTGCTCTTCCTTAGAGTTTCTGCTCTTGTCTCTATTATCGATGTTAATCAGATGAGTCATGAAACTTTTGAATGAAAATTTCGGTTTCGGTTTCTTTGACTGACGTAAATTGCGTCAGTTTCGGAACGGTGCTGCATCTGCTTCACTGCTTTGCTGTATAATATTGCTATGAATATTATCAGATGTTCTCGTTTTTGAGGCATTTGGCATGTGCTTGCACCACGTGCACGCAGGCGTCTCCCTTCATTCCTTGCACTGTTTTTTCAAGTAAAAATCGACCCTTTTTACTTATAGTCATCTGTAAGACACTCCTTTTCCGACTCAAAACCTTTCCGACTATAGTCAATTTGGAGTTAATGGTTTTTATCCCTGTTCTAGCGCGCATAGTGCATCTGCACGTTATACATCTAATTTGCATACGCACACCAGTTGCCGCGATCAATCGCAGTTTCTGGGCGCCTTCTGCGTTTCAAGTAGTTATGTGGTTTAATACTCTACGACCGATAAGTGGTCTTTGCTGGTGGACTTAAACAGTTGGTTTCCGTCTTCAATACTGACTGACTCTCTATTGTCTAAAATCGTCATCAAGCTGCGGTTCTTCAGTGATGCAAGTTTTTTTCCTATTCGACATCACTTCGAATCACTGTATACCTTCAACCATTTGTTTATTTACAACATCGCTGAGCTCGATTGGAAGCTGCAGCATTCAATCTTTTGTGCTGAATGTGTTATGGCAAAGCTCCAACCATTGTTTGGCTATAAATCTAAAAACGATAAGCGCATCTCTGATAGCTTTTTTGATATCACTTGTAGTTGACATTGCATAAAGTGTTTCGAACAGGAATAAGTTCTTGAAAGTCTTGTCAAAATTCTTGTTTTCCGCTTCCGCTTGTGAGTTTGCGCGATGCTCCGGTTGAAATGCAAACAATAAATCTTAATGATATCTTTCGTTGGTACATTTATGAGAGTGCCTTAGATCATAAATTTCCACAGAGAATCTAGGTTCTTTTTGAATTGTTACAAAACTGGCTGGAAACCGGAGTGTTTTATCCTTACAAGCTCAGTGAAACCGAGTTTCTGAGGAAAATCCCGTTTTATTCCATCTTAATTCATTTACATTTTATTTTGTTTTTTTTGTGTTCGTTTTTGGCTTTTGCATTGTTTTCGAAGCTGTTCTTGCCTTTGGAGAACTACACCCCTATCGGCATATTCTCGTGTTTTTACTGAAATGTAGTGGCTTCCATCAAATTTGCTTTATTTTGTTTTCAAATAAATCCGCTTTCTCGTTTGTCATTTTCCATGAAGAAATATGCTCCTTTCCCGTTTGATATATCTCTGCCATCGTCACTCAAGCCATGCCCAAATCTCCATGGAAGCTTTGCAAAGCTTGAGCGTTTTTCCATGCATGAAGAACGCTTCTCTAGCAAGATTTCAATACTTTCTCTGAGGCAATCTAGTCATGCTCGAATGCGCAGCTGATTTTCGCTTTTGCTTTCTGCGTGCTAGTTTTCCTCTGTTTTTTTCTTCTCCTCTGCTAGTCACGTCAGAAAGTCTAGCGGTCGGGCAGCAGTACGATTTTTTGATGAGAATACAAACAATGACTTCGGCTGATTCGCTTTCCTGCTCGATATTCATTTCCATACGAGTGAACACTTATTAGTACGCCTTTAAAACACTTCCAATGACTTTCTACGCATCTTTTCTCAATCTAATCCTTCATCGATCGATTCTACACTCTTCCATTCCCAGTTTATGTTCAGCATTTTCTTTCTTTAAGCAAACAAATTCAATCTCGTTGTGCACCTCTAAACTTCAGTCACCTTCCAATCATCTTATTTTGAATCTGATTGCTTATTTTGGTTCTGCGCTTAGTGCCAAAATCAGTATATCTTTTCTTTCTGAAAGCAATCATAAATCTCTTTAGCTGTATTTGATTCTCGTGGATTGACGTATTCTGCGTGCATTTTGCGGCACAGCGTTGCAGAATCTCGCATTGTATCTTCTTTTTTTTTTCAGTCATGTGAGTCGAATTCTTTGAAATGCCCTTTTGAGGCATAAGAGAAATCTATGTGACACATTTTCCTGCGTAAACAAACATTATGCGTCGTTCATTGCGCTCCTTCCTGTTTCGGAAATTCTCAGAAAAGTGCATGTTATCAGAATTCACATGTAGTACCTAATGTTTTGGTCTTGGCATGGAGAACTTTGAAAGTTCTTCAGATTTATTCAATTTTATTTATAAGTTGTCCTATTCCTTTCTATGTCCAGTTTAGCAAATCTCAAAACTTTTCTAATGTCACCCATTCTTCTTTATTTCTGTAACTTCTCATCTTACTTTCGCGTGCCTTTTGCTTTTGAGGCGGCTTTTAAGGCTATTTTCTTTATCCTCATTCTTGCGAGCATCCAGTGTTTACATTAAATGCGATCCTGCGCAGCATTTTAGTCCTCGCGATTCTCTTCCATTACCTTCCATCGGCTCATAAAATACTGCGATTTTCCCTTTCGACCAGGGAATAAGTGCCTATGGAAACTGACTTAGGAGGTACTGTGGAGGTAACAAAATTTTGAGGTACTTGAGTTATTTGTAGATTTATAAGGTTAATTGAGGTTTTTATTCGTATTTTATGAGTATTTTCGTCTTGAGAATTGCTTGTGACACAGGCAGTGATCTTGATTTTCATTCTTGGAGTGTACGCTTCTTAGCGAATGGGAAATATTCTATCCTCAGATGAAAAAGAAGGAAATAAAAGCGAATTAAATTATATCCCAACAGTAGATCATTATCGAGTTTTGATCAGAGAACATTGTTTTTTACCTTTTTGATCTAACGTTCTGGCTTTGGATGCATGCCGTACTCTACCTTTCTTTTAAGGCATATTATTTCTACTAGTCCAAGCGACTTGCGTAATTGCCTCTCTTGACTTACAAGCAAGAGGTCGTTCATGTCTCTTCAATTTTTCGTCAAGTCTACGGCAGTTCTCGGTGAACTTTCCAGTCTCATTTTCATGCAGACAGACAAGAACGTTTTTGTTGTCAATCCCACCATTTTTGCTGTCTTTTTCAGCTTCTTCCTTGTCTAAACTGGATTGTTAGGCTTCCCTTGTGCAGTTCCTTTTTCCTTATTTTTCTGTCATCAGATACCAGCTAATACCACTATTATAGGCGGCTGCGGCGATGACGTACGGCGTCGGTGTCGCCCAGAACAACGCTGATCTTGGTGGTGGAGGAGGAATGAATGACGAAGAATATGATGAGAACTCCTCAGCACGACTCTTTGAACGAAGTCGTATCAAAGCTCTTGCGGGTTCGTACAAATTTTTCTTTTTTTGCTTTTCTTTTTTTTCGACTCATTAACAATCAGATCTGAATGACATATAGATGCTAAGTGCAATTTTTTTCTGTTTTTCTTGGTTCTGGCATCTCGGACTGTAATGTTTAGAAGCTTTGATTTCCGGTTTGTCAAACTATGCAATAACACATCTATTCGTATTGGCTTGTATGCATTGCTAGGGAATGTCTCACGTTTTTGCAGTTTTGTGCATCTTGGGAAAGGTTTTCATACGGTTTCTTGCTTGACTCCGAAGAAAAGAATGTCTTTCCAAGACCTTAAGAATAATCCTCTGTCTGGTTAAAGCAGTTTCAGCTGTTTTGAAGGTTTTCTGAGGCTTTTGCATATGCTTCAGAGAGCTGATTCCTTGTCTTAACTCTAAAGCATTGTTTGACGGGTTTTTCTGCCTGGGGTTCTCATGGAGACTCCCTCTTTTGTCAGAATGGATGGTTCTTCATTCGTTCGTGCAGTCGTCTGCAGAGGCATTAGCACGCGCGAAACAATCGACGCGTTCATAAGTGCGGCCCACGCAAGACGAGCAGATCTCTTTTTACAACACTTTTGAGAATTACAGTGTTTTTGCTCCAATGAGAGCAGGCTAGGAGCTCTTCCGAATGCGAATTTTTTGAAGAAGGTTGCTAGAGTGGTAGCGCTTCCCTCCTTTGTCCAGTAAAATCCACGATATCCTCCATTAGCAGCACATTAGTGAGGTAGTATGTACGCGGAACATACTCGGAGGTCTCTATTGTATTATTGACACAACGTTGATGAATGCCATTTACGCGCGCCTCGCCAAGTTTGCATTGTGGGTCAATATAGCCAGCCCTAACAGGCAAATGGCTGCGCTGCAAAATTTTCGCTAAGGAAGGGGGTGCAAAAATGTGGTTCTCAGCTGCATTGCGTAGAGATGGATGCATTCCTCAAGAGTGGGTGATTCCTCATCTTCATGATGTGGCCTTCGAAAGATGCGAGAAAGATGAAGACGTCTCGTCTCTCAGCACGACTGATTGGCTGTCAGAAGTGCGTGAGACTTTACTGCCGCAAGCCTTTTCTCGGAGGTGTTTTCTCCTCAGAAGAAATGTGTATGGGCTTCTGGGCGCATCAGGAAACTACTCATTTCCTGAACGCTGCGTATGTATCGCAAGCGCTGTTCGTAGATCAAATGAAGCTTCGAGATGAAGGTAGGCCTAGTGAGGAACTAAAGAATTGGCATGGTAGTTTGCTTGATCACCATAAATTTTATGCTTCTGTTGGAAAATCGTAATTATCAAGCACTCAGCCGTTTTCTAGACTGGGAAGATTGGTCATCATGACTAACAATCCCATACCAGAGGTGGAAGGCAGAAAAAGATGAATGCGGTTAAGAATGCAACTCCATGAACTTCATTCAGACTTCGAAATCGGCATTAAGCCGTACGTGAGGCATAAAAAAGACGCGACAACAAACCCTGATAAGGATCGATTTGATAACGAAGAGGGTGTAGTAGTTCTTCTGCATAATGGCGTTCTCTCCAACTACTCCTCGAATTGAGTTGAATGACGTCGAGTTTTCCCGTCAAGAAGACTCAACCAACTATGCCGATCCTACTCATCCACACTCCGATCGCCTCGGCCTGGAGATTACGATTCCCCAAGACTACGAAGGCTTCGTATTGCAATCGTGGTCACCGGGGGTGTACCCTGGCTCTCCTGGTGCTTTAGAAGAGACTCGCTGCAGGCACCTTAGCCAAAAAGGGCAGACGGACCAAACGCCATCGGCTGAATTGTTAGACGACCAAATGGGCAAACATCTTAACAGCTTCGACTTCAGATTTCGCGGGTTACAAGGTCTATACCAAATATTTTGTCCTTATCGCTTTCTTGATTTTGAACTATAAATCTGTCTCATCATTATTTGCGAAAAAAAATCCTTACCTTTCTCATTATTGTTGATTTCAGAGGAGCGTGAGCACGTACAGAAGAAGACATTTACAAAATGGGTAAACTCTCATCTAGTGAGGGTTAGCTGCAAAATTCAAGATCTCTATATGGATATGCGAGATGGAAAGATGCTGTTGAAGCTTTTGGAAGTCTTATCCGGGGAGCGCCTGGTGAGTTTCTTTATAGAGAGGTTCTTTGTGAAAAAATGGAATTAATTTTTCTTATCCCTAGCATTTGCTGTTGAGAAAATTACTGCATTTTTAATCGGTTAGGATGAGAACCTGGCCAAAGTAGTGTGTTTGCCGTAAGAACTTTGAATACTTGCTGTCCAAGAACTTTCGTAATGAACAATTGTAGAGTACCGAAAAACGATACTTTACCCTGGCTCGAAACCGATAGTGCCTATAACTGTTCTTCTAAGCGCATTAGCTTTTGCGTGAGTACAACCCGAGTCCCATGAGGGTTGTTTATCAAGTGCTTCTGTCCTTGCAAAAAGTCGAAAAAGATAATTCTTCCCAAACCGCAAGTAGATGCATGCAGAGATTAGGGAGTATGCAGAGAGAGGGACTGGGAAGTAGGGGCCTTTGAAGAGTTGTAAGTGGTTTTGGAATCTCTTGACTGCGTCATTATTATCTGAAAAAAGTTAATCGTATCAAAATTTGACACTATTTTTCTGCCGTTTTATCACATCAAACAGTATATTGCTGAGTTTAGAATATAGGAAAATCCCACATTTATACTCTTTCGAGATTTATTCACTATATTTCAGCCGAAGCCTACCCGCGGTAAGATGCGGATCCATTGTCTGGAAAATGTCGACAAAGGATTGCAGTTTCTCAAAGATCAGCATGTACATTTGGAAAACCTCGGTAGTCATGACATTGTCGACGGAAATCCACGCCTCACTCTCGGTCTTATTTGGACCATTATTCTTAGGTTCCAGGTTAGTTTTGTGACGGATAAGTTACATTCGCTTTGAAATTTTGTTATCTTTTTATCATCTGCTCACTGTCTTCTTACAGATCCAAGATATCACCTTTGAAGACGCCGATAACCACGAAACGCGTTCCGCTAAGGAAGCGTTACTACTTTGGTGCCAGATGAAGACCGCTGGCTATCCGAATGTGAATGTTAGGAACTTCACAACAAGGTCAGCATATGTTGCAACTTTTCTTACCAGCAATTTGGGATAGACAACACCTACCATGTATTCTCCACTTAGATTTTCTGTCAAAGAAGGTTCTCCTTTTATAAATCCAAATTTAGCTGGCGTGATGGCCTTGCTTTCAACGCCCTTATCCACAAACATCGTCCAGATCTCATAGACTACGATAATTTGCAAAAGTCGAACGCTATCTACAACCTTCAAAATGCTTTTGATACTGCTGAACAACAGCTTGGACTGCCGAAATTCCTGGACGCGGAAGGTTTGATAACAATAGTTTAGGCTAAAGCATTTCGAAGATTCTAATACAAAAGATTCTCAATTGCAGATGTCAATGTACGCGATCCCGATGAGAAGTCCATCATCACCTATGTGGTCACCTACTACCATTACTTCAATAAAATGAAGCAGGAGACTATCCAGGGAAAACGTATTGGAAAGGTGTGCTAGTTTCGAGATATGATGTGGGCGTACTGTAATTGCGCTTTAGGTCATAAACGAGTTAATGGAGAACGAGAAAATGATCAACAAATATGAGACAATCTCCTCCGATCTTCTTGAATGGATCAAAGAAAAGATTGAGAAGCTCAACGATAGGTACGCATTGTTACAATTGTTTCACTTGTTTTACAGTTGTTTAACTGTTCTTAACAATTCTTTCTAGGACATTTGCCAACTCTCTACAGGGAGTGCAGCAACAACTTGCTGAGTTCAATGAGTATCGCACGCAAGAGAAACCTCCAAAGTGAGTGTTTTATTTCTTATTTGCATTTTTTTTCGAAAAATTTTTCAGTTCATTGAATACTAGTTATTTTGTGTTATGTATGAAACTTTTGCATGTAGGTTCGAAGAAAAAGGCGAGCTTGAAGTGCTCCTGTTCACCCTGCAGTCAGCCATGCGAGCCAACAATCAACGTCCATTTGTTCCTCGTGAGGGCAAACTCATTGGAGACATAAATAGAGTACGTTTTCCAGAAGTTTGCAACTCGTTTGCATACTAGAAAAGTCCACAGATAAAGGACACATCGAGGGTGCACGATAAATAATGTAGCAGATAGAAGCTGCCTACGTTACATTGCCGATTTCGTTAACATTCAGACCCTGTATCTTCTCGTATAGTCGGATTTTTTGCCGTTTTTTCTCTTTATACCCCTTTTTCAGGCTTGGGACACTTTGGAAAAAGCTGAACATGAACGTGAATTAGCGCTGAAAGAAGAGTTGATTCGTCAAGAGAAACTCGAACAATTGGCTGCTCGATTCAACCGCAAGGCTGATATGAGAGAGACATGGCTAACTGAGAACCAACGCCTTGTCAGCCAGGATAACTTCGGATCTGATCTTGCCAGTGTTGAGGTACGTGGTTCAAGTAAGTTGCCCCTGATCGTAAAGGATATGCATCGTTCAGGCTGCAACCAAGAAGCATGAAGCCATCGAAACTGACATTTTCGCATACGAAGAGCGTGTTCAAGCCGTTGTTGCTGTTGCAGGTTTGCTTATTTTGTCGCTTTCCTTTTCTTTGTTTACGGTACCATATAGAGACTCCTTTTGTAATTACCAGTCTTGTTCTCATCTAATCCTTCTAGGAGAGCTCGAAGCTGAGAACTTCCATGGAATCGAGGAGATCAACAATCGGAAAGAGAATGTGCTCAAGCTGTGGAATTATCTCTTCCAGGTGAGCAAGGAAATCTATCATAATAGGTGGGAGACATTCGATGCATAATTTACAGCTCCTTCTTGCTCGTCGTGTTCGTCTTGAACTTTCTATGGCTATCCAACGCATTTTCCATGACATGCTTCTTACCCTCGATCTCATGGACGACATCAAGGTAAGTGAAAATAATCAACTGTCTATTGCCTCGTCGATAAAGTAAATTTGCTTTGAGAGAGTGCGATAATCTCATTCTCGGTCACGTTCTGAGTGTAGGATTCATTTTGTTAGGCGCGTCTTCTTTCCGACGATCTTGGAGCTCATCTCATGGATGTGGAAGACATGCTCCAGAAGCACGCCCTGCTGGAATCCGACATCAACATCATTGGCGAACGAGTGCGGAATGCTGTGGCGCAGGCTCAGCGGTATGTGGTTAATCATGTGAAACATTTATTTCTTGCAGATTTCGTTGTATTTGTTGCTTATGACTTTTTTTATCTATGCGAAGGCGAATTCATGTGTATGCAACATTCTGCCTTCGTATTTGCACTAGCATTTTGCGAGCGCAAGCCAGTCCTCTCCGGCTTTACTCAGATCATTTGCAGCTTCCGCGATCCAGAAGGACCAGATGGAAGCGGTTATCTTCCTGTTGAGCCAGCTGTTGTCGACGAGCGTTCATCAATTCTGCAGCAAAGGTGAGTTTCTCAAATTGATATGCAGCAATGTTGAAAATTCTTTTTGGTTACTTTACTAATTCGTGTGATATGTGAATTTTATGAACGTGCTTTTTGCATGGTTTTTGACGCGTTCCCCTAGCAAGTGATGCTGACTACAGTTGGAGTTTCTCATAATGAATATATTAAAGGTACCAAGAGCTCCTTGATTTGGCTGCACAACGCAAACGCCGTCTTGAAGACAACCGCAGGTTGTGCCAGTTCTGGTGGGATGTGGCTGATCTGGAGAACAACATCAAGGATCAAGAACAAGTAAGTGACTTACATTTCAAGGCAAAGTGGGAGCTGAAAGTATAAAAACTTCTGTTTTCAGGTACTCAGCTCAACTGACACCGGAAAAGATATCGTTACGGTATCGCATCTTCTCGCAAAACACAAAAACGCTGAAAACAATCTTGGTGATATCGAGCGTCAACTGGAAGCTTTGCAAAAGGATGGAGATCAGTTGGTGTCTGAGAATATTCCTGGTAAGCGCATCAAAGTGTGAAAGTCATTTTGATGATAACAAAGTTTTTCGTGTCGTAGGATCGGATAACATTCCACCTCGCATCCAAGAAATTCGCGATTACCTGAAGAAATTGCGTGATCTTGCCGCTGCCAGGCGTGAGCGTCTCACCGGAGGTGTTGACTATTACCAGGTTAGATTTGCAAAGTTTTCAAGATCGTTTTCCGTAGTGTACGTGCATGCGTTTCTACACTCCTTAAATGGAGGTGGTGCAGGAGGAACCAAAGGGCTGCCGCCTGTATCCGCAGGAGATAATTAAGAGCGCGAGCGTTGTGGAGAATATTTTGGCAGGGATCCAAGGAAACTCGGCAGGGACATTCTTTAGGACGAAATCTTCATAACTTCGCCTGGAGATGACTTTGAAAAATTTAAAAAACAGATTTGTAATGCAAATTGGAAGGCGCATTCACTGGGCCTAAAAGTAAGTGAAAATTTGAAATTGTAGTGGTAACAAAGTCAGCTACCAGATAAAAATTCGTTTTGAATCTTGAAGTTTCAAGTTGTTGAAGTTCGGGGTTTTCATTCAAAATTCATTCTTTTTTCTTTGAGATAAGGGAATAGTTTGCCTTTTGAGTCAATGAACCAAAGCAATCAAAATGTCATAAAAACACATCTGGAGGTTTGTGTCAAGAAGTTCCTCACATGCAACTTAGTTAACATTCAAGAAAAATCGATAGTGGTCAGTTGATTCGTGGATGTGACATTGATTATTGCATTTGCATGATTAGTTAACATTATTTCCTTATTACCAATTTCAACTTCAAATCCAGAATAATTAAAAATTCACTCTTCTTCCGCACAACAATGAACTTGAAATTCCTCAACTTGAAATGGTGAATTCTGAAGGCACAATTTTTGGTAAAAATACCGAGTAGCGAAGCAGAGTTGTTTATCTATCTGGTAGGCGTATTACTGAAAAATGCGCCTTTCAATACTGATTCCAAATCTGTTCTCCCTATCCTTTAAACTTAATTCCACGGAGAGTTATAAGGATTTGTTTCTAATGGATGTCCTCGCCAAGTTTTCCTGGATCCTTGCCAAAATCTTTTCCACAGCGCTCGCGCTCCTAATTATCTCCTACGGCTACAGGCGGCAGGCCTTTGGTTCCTCCTGCACCGCATCCTCCTTAAATGATACGCACTTAGATGATACGCAGTTTTTTTTAGTTCTTCACCCATGCTGATGACGTCGATGCTTACTTGCTTGATACACTTCGTGTTGTCTCAAGCGACGATGTCGGCAAAGATGAAGGTACTGTGCAACTTCTCCTAAGAAAGCACGATGATGTCTCCGACGAGCTGCAAACGTTTGACACCCAGATCAAGCAGCTGTACGCGAAGGCTGAAGCCCTCCCACCTGATGTGAGTATTTTCTCGTGTTTTTTTTTTATAAATATCGTTGGGAGCAGAATTCTATCATGCGTTCTGATGTCGCCATGGTCCCATTGTTTGATCAGCATGAATTATATCAGAATCCATCCTCCTAACTACAATTATATCGGAATCAGCTTCATTGTTAGTCTTGCTTAGGAACCACTGCTACGCTGCTCAGATACTATGAATTTCTGTTTTCTCCGATTTTGTGGAGCATCCAGTGTACTATTAGCTTTCTTTCAGGCTCGTGAGCATCCGGACATCCGCGAGCGTTTGGACTCGACCATTCGACGTAAGGCAGAACTTGAGAATCTAGCTCAACTCCGAAAGCAACGTCTTATTGACGCCTTGTCGCTCTACAAGCTCTATGCCGATGCTGATTCGGTTGAAGCTTGGATTGACGAGAAGGTAAGACAAAAATGTTTTCGTCTAATTTTGCTAATATAAAAGTTCTATAGGGAAAGCTACTGGCTACTCTTGTTCCTGGCAAAGACCTCGAGGAAGTTGAAATTATGAAACATCGCTTTGAAACTCTCGAGCAAGACATGAAGAATCAGGAGGCAAAGGTGCGCAAAGATTTCAGATTTTTGTAACTTGGTCGTTATGGCGTCTGTTCGTAGGTTGGCACTGTCAACGAACTTGCCCGCCAGCTGCTTCATGTCGAACATCCAAATTCCGACGAAATCCTTCAACGACAGAATAAACTCAACGCTCGTTGGGCTCAACTGCGTGATATGGTCGACCAAAAGAGAGCTGAGCTTGACCGTGCTCACCGTCTTGAGACCTTCAGGTATGATTCCACCATTCTTTTGTCTACTTTGTCACACAACCTTCGCTTTTGTAGAATCGACTGTCAAGAAACTGTCACCTGGATCGAGGATAAGACTCGTGTGCTTGAGGACTCTGATGCTCTTACCAATGATCTCAGTGGAGTTATGAAACTCCAAAGGAGGTGAGCATAAACTTTGTATATTTTTAGTTTGATTATTTCTTGTTATCTAGGCTTTCAATGATGGAACGCGATCTCGGCGCCATCCAGGCTAAGCTGGATGCTCTTCATAAGGAAGCAGATTCGATTGAGCGTGAGCGTCCCCAGGAAGCTCAAGCGATCCGGGAGGATATCAAGCGAATCCATCAGGTACGATCAACATTTCCACTTCAAATGTGACTAAAACAATGCCTTTGTTTAGGTCTGGGATATTCTGAACAAGAAAGTACGCGAGCATGAGGCGAAGTTGGACGAGGCTGGCGATTTGCAGAGATTCCTTCGCGATCTGGATCACTTCCAGGCCTGGCTTACTGCCACACAGCGGCAGGTTGGTGCAAACCTTGATCGTTCTTCTTTACCTTGCGATATAAATCAAGTGCGCCACGACTGTGACGCAACAGAAGCTCTAGAAATTTTTTTTATTAGGGAAGTCGACGGTGTGAGAGTATATTTGCTGTTAGGAAAAACAGTGCATCACTGTGCGCGCTAATTCTTTTGAGATGAGCTTGAAAATTGTCCAAGCTGTCACTTGTGACTTGCTCAAATAGTAAGGCTAGAAGATGCGTTTTGTCGGAAGGGAGATGCAAGATCTGAGTTGTCTACCCTTTCGTAAACTCCCGTTGTAGGTTGCTTCCGAAGACGAGCCTCAATCATTGGCAGAGGCTGAGCAGCTTCTCAACCAACATGCAGCTATTCGTGAAGAGATTGACGGTTATGCTGAGGATTACAAGAAAATGCGTGCCATGGGAGACCGTGTCACCCAAGATCAGACTGATCCACAGTACGTTTTGCACTCACTACTGTTTATTATATTGAGAAAGGCAAAAAATCTTGTCAGTAAAAGAAGTAAGTTTCGAACTTGATCCTATTAAGGTACATGTTCCTTCGACAGCGCTTGGCTGGCCTTCAAGAAGGCTGGGAAGAGCTGCAACGAATGTGGGACAACCGTCAGCATCTTCTCAGCCAGGGACTCAACCTACAGGTTCGTAACTTATACTTCTGCGTATCGTGCATCTAATCGGATGTTCTCAGATGTTCCTTCGCGATGCAAAACAAGCAGAGGTCATGCTTTCTCAACAAGAAAACTATCTCACTAAGGATGAACCTCCAAGCAGCTTGGAACAAGCGGAAAATATGCTCAAGAGGCATCAGGTAAGATTGAACCTGAGTGATCTGGACTTTTTTAGCGCTATTATTCCATTTCAGGACTTCATGACAACTATGGATGCTAATGATGAGAAGATCCGCGCTGTTGGAATGTTCGGTGATCAGCTCTGCCAGGATGGTCATTACGCAGCCGATAAGGTAAAATGTTTGCGAAATGACTTTTCTGATTTAGATTTTGCTTGAAGTTCTATATTTTTGGATTTTGAATTTTCATGGCAGTGCATTACAAATCACTCCGTTAGCTGTTTACAGATTCACAAGAAGGCGCGTAACATTGATGAACGTCGTGAGGCAAACCGCGAAAGGGCACAAGCTTTGCTTGCCAAATTGAAGGATGCACTCGCTTTGCAGCAGTTCTTGTCTGATTGCGAAGAATTGAGAGAATGGATTGAGGAGAAGATGATTCGCGCTCAGGATGAGACTTACAGGTCAGGATAATCATTATTTGAGTTTTCTTTTTCACCTGCTAGCTTTTGTTATGTGTAACCTTCTAACTACTTTTTTTCCTTCATTGATATTTTCTATCTTAGGGATGCAAAGACCATAACATCCAAGTTTGTGCGTCACCAGGCCTTCCAGAGTGAACTACAAGCTAACAAAGTAAGTTCAACTTTTGTTTGCTCGCTCTGTCCTTGCTTATACTGCTCGTAATAGGAACGACTGGACCAACTCCAACACGCCGCCATTGATCTTGGAGCTGAGAAGCCAGAATTCACTGGCACCATCGATCCTCAGATCACTGAGTTAGCTCATCAATGGGAGGAACTTGAAAAGACCACTGAAGAGAAGGGACAGAAGTTGTTCGATGCCAACCGACAACAGCTTTATGTACAAAGCATTGCTGATATGAAGGTAAGGAGGTTTTGTAGTTTCACTGTCGATTACGTCAGTGATATAAATGGTTTAGGAATGGGCCAGCCAGCTGGAGAAGGAGATGACTCGTGAGGACCAACCGGCTGATCTTACCACGGTTAACGTTGCGATGCAGAAGCAGCAGATGATCGAGACAGAAATGATCAAGAAGTGGGTTTTGGTTCTCTATTTTCGTCTTTTCGTCTTTCTTTCATAAGAAAGATCATAAGAAACTTTCCATTTATTTACTGTTTTTCAAACCTTTTATGCTACAGGGCTCACCACATCGACCAACTCATGGAGATGGAGCCACAGTTGGAGGAGATGCACCCTGATGAATTGGAACATATCCGTGCTCATAGACTGGCAGTCCAAGAGCAGCTGCAGAGGTATCAACGACCGGATTTTCAAATTCTTTACTAGTTATTTCTGAATGTTCTCAGGTTGCAAGCACCCCTGGATGACCGAAGACGTCAACTTGAGCGAAAGAAGGCGGCCTTCCAATTCGGTCGTGATGTTGAAGATGAGAAGCTATGGATAGCCGAACGTCTTGCTTTAGCTCAGGCTAAGCAACTCGGCGAGAATCTTTCCGATTGTCATAGGTAGGTTTTCAATATTTGACATTTCCACGCAAATTGTAAAAACTCGTCCCGCTCTCGAGCATTCGGTTTGTGTATCCATCAAACGAAGCCACTACCACCCCTGCTGTCTACAGTGTGCTGCTGCCTTCATACTGTAATGCTTAGGCTCCAAAAGAATGCGCAGCTGCTGACGAACGAGATTGAAAATCATGAACCATGGATCGAACGAATTTGCAGTAATGGACGTGAATTGATTGACGCAGGTTCGTTGATCTACGTTTCCATTTTTTTTTTGGATTTTTTACTTGCTATCTTCAAATTATGCTTCATGAATCTCCTTTTCAGGTCATGAAAATTCACCAGCATTCGAACAAAAGATTGCCGAACTCCGTGGAGCTTGGCAGAATTTGAAGGACGCACTGCAAGATAGAAAAGACAGGTGTGTAAATTTATTTGTAAGAAAATCTTAAGTACTGCAATCGCGAGCTGTTCAGACTGGCTGAAAGTGAAAAAGCTCATCAATTCCTGTACGACTGCGGCGAGGCTGAAGCTTGGATGAGCGAGCAAGAGCTCTACATGATGCAGGTAAATCTTACATTTTCCTTTTTTTTTCTGCAAAAACAGAACTTGTCTTTTTTTCCAGGATGAGCGTGGCAAAGATGAGTTCTCTACTCGCAACCAGATTAAGAAACACGAACGTCTGCAGTCTGATATTGACAAATTTGCGGATACCATTCGAAATTTGGCAACAAAAGCGCAGAAGTTCGTGGACGAGAAAAGCCCGCTGAGGTAAGTGTATTTATTATGCTTTGAAGATCTACTTTCATATCATTGTTATCTGGTTCAGCGATCAAATCGTCCTAAGGCAGTCCCAGATTGAGAAACTTTATGCTGGTCTACAAGATCTGTCGAAAGAAAGAAGAAAGAGACTCGATGAAACTTTGGAGCTCTATGCGCTCCATCGCGAAATTGATGATCTCCTTCAATGGATTGCAGACAAAGAGGTAGGAAGTTTACACTTTTGTTGTAATTTCGTTCATTTGGATTCTTCAAGGTTGTTGCTGGAAGCCAAGAGAATGGCCAGGATTACGAACATGTGCAAATGCTCCAAGAGCGATTCCAGCAATTTGCAAGAGATACGGAAAATATTGGATCAGAACGAGTGGCACGTGCAAACGATGGCTGTGACGCGGTAGGTTTTGTAATAGATTCGTGACGAACCGCGCGGTTTTCTTCAGCATGAAGATACCAGAATGTGTACCTCCTCTTTTTGCTCAGAGAGACGGCTGTCCTATAGGAGGTTGACAGTATCTCGCAGACAATAAAGAAGCGTGCACCTGATCGTTTACCTAGTGAAAGTTCGACGCAGGACTGCAAAAGCATCTCTTTCTACCGAACAGAAAAAACTGCCATCTACGCTCTAGATTGCACGATCAAAATTTGTTCATTGCTTTGAGTCAGCGTCTTCTAAGCATATGCTTAGTGTCCTTAAACCTAGTTAGCTAAAATATCAGGTTGATGCAAAAATAATGGCCATTTTGCGAATTCTCAATTTAACGTACTTTTTGAGAAATCCACATTTCTGAAAACCAGCAGAAGCACCAAATCTTTAGCAATACAGCGCACATTTACCTGCATCAATATCATCAACGGGCAGAAAAATATGGACTGCAAAACAAAAAAAGTATTTTCTGAAGCATTGCCTGTGACGAATTATAACTTTCTTCAAAGTTTGTTAATATGAATGATAAGTCGCCTATCCTGTAGCCGCTAGCCAATAGTACAAAACACGATAAAAAGGGTATGGAGAAAAAAAAGTTTGCGAAAAGGAAAAAGAATGAAGTTCAAAATTGTCAGTCTTTCCATCATTTTTTCACTATGCCTCAAAGTCCCGAATATAGAGTTTTCTAATTTTTTGCGTACTGAACAGCTGGATGTTTCTGCCAAAACTGCTGTCAGGATGCCCTAGCATCACGCTTACATAGTTGAGCAAAGCTTTGGCAATTGACTTTTTCAAAAGAAACTTATGGGTCACTAGATGGCTTACTCGGCTCCGCCCGGCCCTGTCAATAATATATTTGTAATCAGCATGCTCGATTACCCCCCTGTGCCAACTCCCAGCTCTGTAGCTCAAATTTTGCAAAAAATCGATAAAATCGATATCGATCGATGACGAAAAGTAGCCTATGACACCCGCCGGGGCCCGAAGTGTATGTATGCCAAGTTTGGTCCGGATCGGTTCAGAAATGGAATTTTCTATTCGGAACATACGTACAGACATACAGACAGACATACAGACAGACAGACAGACAAACAGACATTTAGCTCTATATATAAGATGTAATGACCGCAACGGCTACCCATGTTATGGCACAGATATCTCTGGATAACATCAAAATATACAGTGAAGTACGCATAATGTAGACAATTACTATCGCATACAATAGCTAAATTTTCGAAGAAGCGCTATTTTTACGGACTCGAATTCTGGACAGAAAAGTGAAAGCAACAGAATTCGAATTTGGATGCAGTTATTTGAAGCTCAGTAACTTCATAACAAATGAGGTTAGAAGCCTGCATCAACCACCATTAGATGGGGCATGAAAGCAGCTTTTCAATGGTATGCTAAGTATTTCAAAGAAGGTTGATGGGAAAAAGTTGCACTAAAAAAAGGCTTGGAAAATTCATTATTTTTGCATCAACCTAATAACGTGAGAGGGAGTGGTCTTGCGTTTACATTAACAACATCTATAAGTAGATGTCTTTGATTTTATACAAATGATAAAGTAAACAAAAAAAATGAACTGCACTCCTCTAAAATTTTGATACTTGCTTTACAGCTTATCGCTACTGGCCACACGGATGCACCAACAATTGCTCTCTGGAAGGATAGTCTCAATGAGGCATGGGAAAACTTGTTGGAACTAATCGACACTCGAGCGCAGATGCTCGAATCGAGCAGATTATTGCACAAGTATGTGGTAAAGAAAACTGTAGAAGCCAGTTTATTAACAATTCATTGTTTGTAGGTTCTTCCATGACTGCCGAGACTGCTTGTCGCGTATCCTGGAAAAGACGCATGCTATGCCTGAAGATCTTGGTCGTGATTCGAGCAGTGTCGGAGCCTTGTCAAGAAAACATCAGAACTTCTTGAAAGACATTGACGCTATTGGAGAGCAGGTGTGTCACGCATCATGTGATGAATAATTCCTAAACTTACTGAGCAATAATTCCTAAACTTACTGAGCAATTTATAGGTCGCTCAAATTGAGCGCGATGCTGGCGAACTACGTGAAGGTTATGCTGGAGACAAAGCTTTGGAAATGGCAGCTCGTGAACAAGAAGTTGTGAAAGCATGGAGACATTTGCGAGGATTGTGTGATGCACGAACATCACGATTAACGGACACTTCTGATCTGTTCCGATTCATGAATATGGTTCGGTAGGTTTTTTTTGATTTTGTTATAAATCAAAAATTCAAGTGGACAGGTCAGCAGGGACGGGTTGTGTAAAATTAGATAGTGTAAAAATAAGTCGAGACTTTTAATTTCATTAAGCCAAAAATTTTTGCAAACACAGATGTGAATGAATATTTGCAGAAATGTTTTGTGGCTCGCGCCCTCTTTTTTTGTAGATGTATGTGCAGCGTCACTCTCTAATCAAAAAACTGCATACAATGAAAAAACAAAAAATGGAAAAAAATTGCAACATGGAAAACAATGAAAACCATTTCAGTGACCTTCTTCTATGGATGGAAGAGGTGAAACGTGAGATGACTAGCCAAGAACGTCCCAAGGATGTCAGTGGTGTCGAGTTGTTGATGAATAATCATCAAAGTTTGAAGGTAGGAATTTCTCTTTCCCACTGGGCTTCTCTACTGTACGCATTTTTCTAGGCTGAAATTGATGCCCGTGAAGATAATTTCAATGCTTGCATTTCACTTGGACGAGATTTGTTAAATCGCAAACACTATGCGTCGAGTGAGATTGAGAAAAAATTGATCAAATTGACTACTGAACGAGCGGAGATGATGCGACGATGGGAAGATCGATGGGAATACCTGCAGCTTAGTAAGTCGTATCCCATTTTGTTCTTCTCTGCACATCGATAATTTTCGCACTCAATCTTTTTTCTTTTCAGTTCTCGAAGTTTATCAATTCGCACGCGATGCTGCTGTGGCAGAATCGTGGCTTATGGCGCAAGAACCATATCTCATATCGCGTGAATATGGTCGAAGCTTAGAAGAAACGATAGCATTGATCAAACGTCACGAAGCGTTTGAGAAATCGGCTGCTGCTCAAGAAGAACGGTTCCTAGCGTTGGAGAAACTAACCACGGTTAGTCATTTTAACAAAAAGTCCTGTTTTTTGCTTGTTTTCTTTGTTTCCATTTTTTTCAAGCATCTCCCCAAGCTTATACTTCAAACAGCGAAGCTTGCACTCAAGACGGCAAATGTCTGCTATTTGCTTTGTTTATTCGGCGCAAATTTTTTCGATGCACTTGAAACACGTTTTGCGACCTGTTTACTCTCATGAGATCGAAAGCCTCTGTTGCCCGGTGGATAAAAGGTAGTGTTGGATAATTCGAATGTCTCGAAGTTAGTAAAGAAACCTTCATGACATAATTGAGGAACGTTTCATTGAATTTTTTTTTCAGTTAATGTTGTTGCAAGTTTTTTTTCTATAAACATGAGCTAAAGATGGGATAAATTTGATTTGGATGAAACTTTGGTTATGAAGGGTTGATTTTGCAAACAATTAGATATTTGCACCTTTATAAAAGGAGTTTTGTACCTTAATCCTTCGAAAAGAAAAAAATAAAGGAAAGCAATAGGAGTGACTTTCTAAGCTGAGGTCGCCAGCAGATTTTTGCCAAAAAAAAACGAAGATTGCTACAGAAGTTTTGTTTTTTGAGAACCATTTGTCTTTATTTCAGTTTGAGCTGAAAGAGATGCAACGGCAAGAAGAGGAGGCAGCGCGAAGGCGTGGCCATCCTGGAAGTCCGTCGCGGTCTCAGCCACCCGAGGCATTTGGCTCGGATCCTGATGGTAAGTGCTGTAATGGGCATTAAAACTGTCAATCGAGCTGCGTTTTCTTAGAATCTTCTCACATGTTTCTTTGGAATTTTCTCAGAATCACGTAGTGTTGACAAAATAGAAAAATGCTCGAGTGCAATATCTCTGAACTAGTTTCGCGTTTGCATATCGTCTATTTGCATTAACATCTTGTACTTTTATCCTTGCTCTTGATTTTCTGAAATCTTATGAGACATTCGAGAACCCAAAAAAAGATATAACATCATTTCTCATGGATAAGTTTTGTTTACTGACTTTTTTAAGTTAAAATATCCAACTGACAATTAACTTTTCCTCTGCATGTTATCGTAAAAATTGAGAAGAAAAATTAGTCATATAGTCGCATCTTCTCATATGGAATGCTTTTGTAGTTGTGGAGTGGAGTGTTGTGAATTTACAGATTTCAATATGACGTTGAGCAGTGTTGACAGCGGAGGACAGCCACGATCCAGTACCTTGGGTTAGCTAGCTTCTGAATAGTTTGCTTATCGACCTCATAACGGCATGTTATCTCCCCTTTTTTGATGTGAGAATTTGTGGCGGAATTCACTGAAGCATTTTCTCTAAGAGGGCATATCGTTAAGTGAATTCTGCCATATTTCCAATCCTAAAACTTACCTAATCTGACTCCCTTGCCGTTTATAGTTCGCGTATTTTTGTTGTGTTTTGTTTGTTATTGTGCTTTGTGCTAGTGCTGTGAGTTTGCAGAACGTAGCCGTTTATCTACCGGTGAAAGCAGCGGCTGGCGCATGTCTCTAGCTCGTGCGCCAAAATTCGACTCACGTGATCCTCGTGGTAAGTTTCCTAAGTTGAACTTGATGCTGGAGCCTACCTCTGTAGGTGTAGCATAAACATCCTATTTTTTGGTTTCGAATTCTTCTATTTTTGAATGCATTTCTGAGCATTTTTTGCAAATAACAGATACTTAACGAAGCTTAAGCTACTGTAGGAAAGAAACATAACAATTGGTTGCCGCTTTTTACATCCCTTCGTTGTTTTCCCAAGTTACTCGTGCTCGGAAGAGCTGAGAATATTTACATACTTTGGGTTTGGGGCTCATGCCTTCTTCACTTTCACATCATAGAGTGAGCAATGTATGCTTTTGTAGGCGCGAAAGCAGGAGATGCGTTCGAGGGCACGTTGATACGAAAACACACCTACGAATCCTTGGATCGGAAGGCATCGAATCGATCCTGGGAGAAATTGTTAGCTGTATTGCGTAACAATGAGCTTACCTTCTACAAGGATTCGAAACACAAGTAAGTCCCAGAATTATCTGGAAAATTTTATTTTCAAATAATCTCACGTTTCAGGGAAGAAGGGCAATCATTCCATAACGAGCCAGCGGTTAGCTTACCGGGTTGCTCGGTAAATGTTGCCCAAGACTATCAAAAGAAAAAGAATGTGTTGTCGCTTCGTATGCCCATAGGAGCGGAGTACCTTCTTCAATGTGCTAGCGAGGTATGTTTGGTTTAGTTTCAGTCTTTTGAAGTCCTCAGAAAATCTGAAAAGCCTTTTTATAAGTGAGGGGTGGTCTAACTAAGCCATTATACACGCTGCTGCTCATAAGAAACATTCTTGACTGCAAAACTCAATTCGGAACTTTTGCCAACTACTCTAGTCTTTCCGAGCGGACCAGTGAGTTGTTTCAAGTACGGTAGTGGGCGAGAGGTTCAGCTTTGATTTTGTTAGGCTTTGAATGAGTCACATGAGTTGCCGGTTGGGCAGAATATTAGTAGTGAATCTTTGGTGGGTATTGACGAAGTTGGCGACTCTTTCAAAACTTTCTTCCACCACCGTAATCTTTCCGGGACCAATCATCGTCCTCGATTACGGTATTGGACGACAATCGAAAGCTGATGCTCTTGGCTATAAATAGTACATATGAGCTTTTTGAACAGTGACTTAGTAAATCATCTTCAATCAGTATCCACAAAACTTGTCTGAATATTTTTGTGACTTGCTAAAAATTCCAAATGTAAAAAATGGATTTTTTGAAAATTCCAGGAAGACTGCCAACGATGGCTCACCGAACTGCAAATAGCAACCGGTCAGACACAATTGGAAGAAGGATCTCGGTCACAAACACTGCCTGAAGGTGCCCAAGCAAAGGCGAAGAAGAGCGGATTCTTTTCACGAAGCAAAAAGTAGTTTTGCGACTCGCGCGTGGATTCGTTCCTCTATCTAGTCCCCTGTTGCATGGTATATTGTGAGCTTGAGTGCCTCAAGTTCTTCGCGGGTTCATCGCCTTATTCGACAAAGGTGACGAGTCGCCCGTTGACACTTGCGATCACACAGAGCGCACAATCTTGTTACTTTCCAAAACCTTCGTTCTTTGCTGTTACGGTTCCGCATGCACCTACTCTATTTAGGCATTGTTTTGAAAAGGACGCACGATTGCTGTCTCCTGAAAAATTCACACTTTTTCATGTTTCTATACTGATCTGTGCATTCTGGCGCACTTACGCGCAGCATAAGCATACTATAGATGAGTTGAAGTGTGTTAGCCACCCCTGGCGACGGGACCTAGCGAATACAGTCATCAATCGCATATTTGTTGTATACCCCTCTATCTGCTCGCAGCTTTCGCTCCTAGAGTCGCTCCTGAACTCCTTACTGGTCTCGGTTAAGCGGCAGCTAATACGTTTCATTTCGGTAGTTGTTAGTGGTTGTCGAGCTATTCTGGACGAGTTTTGTTGCGAATGGGATTTCCCATTTCTCCCCAAGCGACCCCAGATGCTCTCCTCTACAATATTTTCTTTTCCAAATCTAGCGTTCCTTTTGTTTGTTATGCATCGATGTGGCTTGTCTCTGACCGAATCCCACCCACTCTATCGCTGACGTCGTTTTGCCCCTATCCAAAAGAAGTGAATCACGGATTGCGAGTGCAGTGTGTGCGTTCTGCATATCGGCGTCCGTAACGTTTCGTTTTTTCCTCTTTTTTTTCCGCAAAAATTTGTTTCTCTATCTTTTCCACACCGTTCACCACATACCTATAGATCACTAACCTGCACAGACAGCAAGAAGTGAATTGAACGTTGGAAAAAGCATCGCGCGCGTGATGTCGATATAGCAGAGCCCCACTAGCGAATTCGGTCGTAACCCGCAAACCATACATACATACGTAAATACACACCACACAACACACTTTCTTCAAGCCGTATCTCATCATACACTGCCTGCTCTCGTTCATCGTTTCTCGCTACCACGACTCTGAACTCAGCACCATACGTTACGTACACATCCACACATCATCCATTTTTGTCTCGTTCTGTTTTTTGTATGGGGGAAAGAGCGCTACCGCTCGTCGGGCCTCTGAGAATTTTTAGAATAAAATTCGCTAGCTGGACCCCTCTGCTTGTCTCATCTCATTCTCGTATGTTTGTTATATGTTTTGTATGAAGCGATTCGTGAGCCCTGTAAATGTTCTCTCCTTTCCTGTTCTCCTACTCTATGTTCTTAATTTTTGCGAGTTGATACGATCACATGCAGTCGGATCGAGAGCTTTGTTTGTGCGCCACACACAATGTTAGAGCTTTTTTTTACATTCGTCGAGCCTCCAGGTGATCTGGTGATTGCAATATCCGTACTTCGCCAGCTCATCTTGCTCTCAGCTTAATGTGTTCACATAAATTTTATCATATGGTTACGATAAAGTCTAATTATTAATATTTTGTTATTGTATCATGACCGGATTAACTGAAGGATGAGATTTCCATAATGTAATATTTGCGCTTTCCAAGCCAAAAAAATCATGGAAGAACTGGGGCTTTTCTTATGCACAAGCATAGGCGTGTCGCGTAACCGTCAAATAACTCTTCACACCGCAAGAAGTAAAACCTGTGCTACCTTGAAGAAAAAATGGGGTCTACTTTTTCATGAATTTGTGGACCTAGTTTTTAGGATACATTGAGATTGGCGAGATGTTTAAATCGATTAATCCACTTTGTCCAGTGTTTGAAAGGTCAAAAACTGCTTTTACGGTGTTTTTCGGTCTTGGAATGCTGGAGGGCTGGACGAGCGCCTCCTGCCAGGCGCGATTGGTTGACTAAGCCAATCAGTCAATTGCCTCCAAAATGGGTGGTTATAGGTCCCCCGCCCAGCCCCCTCAGCAATCTCTAAATCGGAAAACGGCTTGAAAAGCACTTTTTTGACTTTTCAAGCACAATCTTGGACTTAGTAGATTTTGAAGGTGGAGTTGTGGGAAAGCTCACAGTCGCAACTTTTCCGAGCCACTGCCTTTGAGTATGATATAACAGTAAGTAGCGTAAGGAAGCGACGGCATGCACCAAAATGGTGACAAATTATTTGAGAAGCCTTTTCTAATTCATCCCAAGTGATTAGTAAGTCAATAAGCTGACTTTAATCGACCTAAGTGATGTGATTTCTTATGAGTGCTGAGACAGGAGAGATGGGCTAAAACATAAACGATTAGCAGCATTGGATCTCCATGTGAGAACTGAGAAGAGGAATGGACGAACTACATGTAATCTTTATCATATATATGTAAAGTAAAGTATTTGGAATAATATACATCACAGAGGTGAGATCATGAACACTGAAATCACATATGAAAGAATCATCTTATACATAAACATGATTTGAGCGATGAAGTATAAACAGCACGTTGTAAGTAAAAGCCTATATCTGAAGGGTGTTGATAGTGATGAAACCTAAGGATGTCTTCAAAGTTATCTAAAGGGAATACGCGCAATATCAAGAACCCGGAATGACATAATTGTGATACTTAGAGATCAGTTCGATGCACAACATTTTCATAGGATTTCCAAAGCAATATTGTAGACTATTTTTGGTTTCAGAAGTGAAGTAGGGGGCGGTGAGTTAAAGAATCAGTAGATGGTAGACGAGAGATATCATTGAATAAGAGGCAATTTCATACCTTTTTTGGGACACTCAATTTGCTTGCCAAAGCAACAGCAGATCCAGTAAATTTTGCGAATTTATCGCAAGAATAACATAGAAACGTATCAATACAAACCACACCCTTTAAGCTTAGACGATAAAATAGTGTCTAAGACACTATCTAGCACAAATTGTACTTGTTGTGTATCAGTTGCGCAGGTCAAATGAGTGTAGATCGATTTTTCCTTGTTTTCATTTGCAGCCATAAATTGCGATTCTATATATTTGGCAGCTTCATCGTAATTTTCACCACCTGGAAATAACTATTATAGAAACTTTACTCATGATAAGTACGTATGCACCAAATATAAATAGCAACAGGCAATTTTTTTACAGGTTTTGGAGAAAATGTGACAAGAAATTCATGGATTTTCTAAAGAGCAAAACTTTGCTTTTCGGAGTAGAGGCTTCGAAAATAATTACAGAGCCGATGGGAAGATGAAAATATGACCCACCTTTGTAGTTTGGAAATGCGATCCGCAATGATTTTCCATGTCCTATTTTCTTTTCAAAGAGATCCTTTTTGTTGAGAAATAGAATAACAGAAGTATTGATGAAATACTTATTATTTACAACTTGACGAAATAACTGCAGCGATTCCTGCATTCGGTTCTGAAATCAGAATTAATTTAACGCCGATTATCATTCATACTAAGATCGTAAGATTGCGTAGATATATGTCGTTTCTAATTATTTCCGACTAACCGTCGTATCATCCTCCATCAGTACTTGATCATATTCGCTCAAGGAAGCAACATAAATCACTGCTTTTGCATCATCAAAGCAATGAATCCATTTCTTTCGTTGTGACCGCTGCCCACCAACGTCAAAAACCCTAAAAGTCTTTGTATAAAGTTAAAACAAACACTCCTTCACATTTTTTTTCGAAACTTGGCAACGGAAATTTCAAGTGCTTATTCGGTAAGCAACATTTTTCATTTCTTGAAACTTCTATTGCTTCGCAATGAGGAATGTTAGAAGCTATGTGTTAGATGCTTAAAACACTTTTTCTCAAAAATTCACTCGCGCATAAAGTACAATTGATGTGATAAACGGTCGCACTAGAGATCAGAAGACCTTGTAAATCTATCACTCGTATCATACTGTTTGCGGTAATCACTAATTTTTCTAACTTTGAAAACTCTTGAGCACGTCAAACTATGCTGCGACTCCCAAGAGGTTGGAAATTCTTTGGAAGAAAATTATTTCGTTACCAACGACTAAGCCTCTATGTTAAGAAGCTCCAGAATTGAAGCAACGTGACATACCTCCATAATTTGTTTTTCATAGTAAAGGAAACTTCAATGACGCCCATTGTAGCAATTCGCGTCCTTAAAATATCTTGTTCGGTTGGCACGAAATTTTTGTCATATATTCGATCCAGAGAGTCGAGGAAACTAAATTTCACAAAGTAAAAATGCTACAGTTATTGAAATCATATACTTTGCCATAAGCCACTCAGGTTTGTGGCGATGTTTATTTGGTCTAACGTTTCGGCAATTATGCCTTCCTCAGAGACCTGGAAGAAAGTCTTACACTTGTTTTCCACACTATGCCGTCAAATCTCTCCCCTTGACACAAACCTGAGTGGCTTATGACAAAGTATATGATTTCAAGAAAATGCCCAGGTTTCATAACCAGAGAACATATAACATATTACAAGAAGTATCGCTTCAGTTATTGTTTCTGACAGAAACTAGTCAATACTCACTATTTTGCGGAGTCATGAAGATAGAACTCATCTCTCCGTTCATAAGCTGCTTCAATACCTTTGTCGTTCCATAAAGTCTTAATTGCTCTGGAAAAAACAAATAAGAGGTTTGAAGGAGTATGTAAGAATCTAACTTACTTGTACATCTCCTCGCTCAACGGTTGAAACTCATCTTTTTTCTCTAGGGTCCTCTTTACGAGAGCAGCATACTCCTGAACGGTGCTTATTTACATTCACATTGATGCGTCCTCATGCCGAGAAGAGCTTGCACAACAATTGTATGTCTGACAATTGTCAGTGAATATTTGATGTGAACAATATATGCGTGAACAAGTTGGAGCTCTATAAAATTTTCGGGGGTACAGGTTCAGTTTTTATGATCGCATACTTCTTTATAAGCTTCAGCTTCTAGCCTCACGTATAACAAACCTTAAGGGCCGGGTATACTTCACGCGATTAGTCGCGACGCGATTTGGCAATTCGCCAGAAGTCTTCAGATCAAACACTAGCAAACTGGACATGCAAAGTTTGTGTAACTTACAGGGATTGATGAAATGCCCTATGTTCTATACATTTAAAATTTGCTCACAATGAATTACGGACAGCTGGAATATTGCCAAATCGCGTGAAGTATGCCCTGCCCTTCAAGCAATTGTATGAAATTCCTCTTTTAAAGTTGTCAAGTTAAAGTTGTGTCATAGAATCCAACTGCCGTCAAAATAGATTTTCCTTATGGTGCAACTTTTAGGACAATCTCATGTTTTACACATAATGAAAATTTTATCCAAGATAAACGTTCCAGCATTTTTGAACAAGTTTCAGAACCTCCAGTGCAAAACTCGTACTCTCTTCCAACCAATCAGCATTCACAAAATCCTCCAAAAGGACTTATTTACCGTAAGATATTCTCGTTTCAGCGGCTATTCAAAGTTTTTGAAAGGAGGATCCGTTGGTGGGTAAGGCATTCCAGTCACTTAACGATGATACAACCGATCGTAATTTTTAGGTGTAGTCAATCAAAACCACTTTAAATTTCTCGTTTATCAATCTCTCTTTCTCTTCGATCTAGCTTTTTCAAGAATGTTGCGAAAATGCGTGAAAGTATTGCTCAATACTTTTAGGAATATGGAAGTGTACAAAACTTATCTTTTCAGTACAAGGTCACTGTAAGGTTTTCGTACATTTTGAGATTATAATAAGCATAATGATTGTCTTCAACTTAGCAGTCGGAACAGTTTTTCTTTTTGAGAAACCACGATTCGACGTCATGCTACCGTGCTCAAGTACAATACCAAGAATAATGATGGTTGCTTTTTCGTACCAGGCACCTTTTCAAAAGCTTTGACGTTCTTTCAGACTCATTTTGGACAATACGACTTACTTGGTGAGTTGGTCTCGAAATGCTCTGCTCCGAAAAAGTAGAGGCTGAATGGCCTGGTCGTGAATCTATCAGAAGGATGTTTGATGAAACCAGATCGTATATTAGGTTGCGAAAGTTCGTTCGCACCATGTTCATTGTAACTTCTTTCTCTTACGATAATTCTGCGCGACAAAAATAGTTCTAGGAAGAGCAAAGCCTACACTTTCTCAGGGCACCTTGTTTGCTTTTTACTAAGCTTTGATTGCTGAGATAAAATTGGGAAAGAGAAATCACTTCAATTTCAGAATTTTGAGGCAAGCTCGTTAAAAATTCCAAAACTGCGCCATAGAATCCAAAACAGAATGTATCCTAGAATATTTGAACCCTCTCTTTCTAGTGGAGCAAAATTCTGATCGAGCTCTCCTTCAAAAACTTGTAATTTTCGGGAAAAATGTCAAAAAATCAGTTTCTTAAGAAAATTGATCTTATGACGTTTTCTTTCAAAAATCATAACTTCTCAAAGAACAGATTGACCAGCACGAATTTTGCTCCACTAGAAAGAGAAGGTCAAATAGTTTAGGATACAGCCTGCTTTGGAGATTTTGTGGCGCAGTTTTGGAATTTTTAACGAGCTTGCCTCAAAATTCTGAAATTGAAGTGATTTCCTTTTCCCAATTTTATCTCAGATACGAAGCTTAGTAAAGAGCAGAAAAGGTGCTATTAGAAAGTATACGCTTTGCTCTTCCCAAAATTATTTTTGGCGGGTAGGAATATCGTAAGAGAAAGAAGTTACGATTTTTTGAAATGGTGCGAACGAAACTGAGGTTCAACCTAATATATTTTCTAAGTCACTTGAAGCATTTTTAGCAGATTAAGAATCGCCTCCAAACTTGGTTCCAATTGGAAAACTCTCTTAATTCTTAGAGATTCTATCACTTAGCGTTCAGACAACACAGTTTATAATGTTTTAAGTAATTTTCTAGCACGATATGTGGGATAGATTGGAGAGTTTACCAAAACTACAATGTGTATCAGTTTGTAGCTCTTTCAAAATTCTTTTTTCTGACTATATACAGCAAAAAGCTTACTGTGCACTGTTTTGAAGCGAAGAGTAGGCCAAGCTTTTTCATGCCATCGATGAGAGCTCCTATTGATTGTACGGTGTTGGCGCAGACTACGGAGATTTTTGAAGTCGCTTCATCTTGAGAGTATCCATTGTCATGGATGATCCTGAACAAATATAACTACGAGGACAGAAAAATTCCAGAAAATGCAAAGAACAAAAGCATGTAACAAATTTTTGCTGCAGCAACAAATTATTTCAAGAATATGTTGAGAAAAAGCGGTGGAGTTTCTCAATTTTTTTTGAAAATAAACCGAGAGGATTTGAAAGCGAACACAAAAAAACTTAGCAACTCACTTCATTTGCTTCAATATTGTACTCTTTCCGCTTTCACCGGCTCCTAAAACAAAACGGTTTGAATTCTTAGAATTATATTGACAGATGCATATAGAATATTCCCTTTTGTTCAAGTCAGATGGGAACCCAGGCAAAATGCTCTTTATGTCTGCAAGAAAAATTTACTGATTGATCGTTCGCATATAATTTCCTGCGGAAGAAGTGCCACAAAATTATAATAATTACGTTTGATTGCAGTGCTGTATAATGAAGAGTTCGGAAAAATACTCAACTCTAATAAAAGTAGAGTTGCGAGAATCGATTTGTGGCAAAAAAGCATTGCATTAAATGGCAAAGTGACTGCTCATGCTGAATTGGAAAAGTAAATAAATATGATTTTATTATGGATATAGATAAGTCAATTTTTGCGCGATGATTGCGTAAAATGCGTAAATGTTTCTTAGATAAAAAAATGCAAAAAAAAAATTACAAATTAGATAGTTGTAATCATACCTAACAATAGCAGCTTGATAACAGTTTCCTCAGCTTTCTTGTCATTTTCTATCACAGCGTTAATCTTGCGACTTCGTTTGTTCAACTCCGCACTCGCTGAATCGCAGTTGCCCATTTCCGGGCAACTGAGGTAAACTGAAAAGAAACATTGATAATAATGAGAAGGACGGATACGATGAGAGAATGTTAAGGAGAAGACATGACGGAAGGTCAGGATAGGAATGATTAGCAGGAGGATGATTTTTGAACAACAAATGTAAGAAGTGAAAAAATGCTGAAAAGATGGCGAGTTATGGTGATAAAAAAGCGGATGATCTTAGGCTCCTGATAAGGTAATCAAAAAACATTGCATTTAGCCACTCACAAAGCTCAATCATTCGTAATAATTGTGATCATCAGCTTGAATGACTTTACTTTCAAACTTATAAGCTCCGCTGCGCATATATATGGAATAACCTTGTTAACGCTGAATATTACGTAACCATGACTGATTACTAGATGCAGACTGGGATAAACCGTGACATTTCTAGCCTTTGTTATCACAGGGACCAAACTTCAAAACGGTTCAAGCTCAGGATTAATAAAAAGTTTACTGTCTACGTTACTGTGTAGCTCCTATGGACTGAAGGAAGCAGGAGGTAGGAGAGTCTATACTTTTGAATTCTACGTAAAGTTCGCCTTCGGTGAAACAAATAAAATAGAGATTTTTGACTGAAAAATTTAGGAGATGCAGAGATTCGAAGCATATAACGATTTTTGTTGCAGCGACAAACTAGTTCAAGAGAGTGTTTGAAAGGTGAAGTTTTTTGACAAGTTTTTTTTATCAAAATTGAATTCAGAATTGTGTTGAAATTTGTTAAGAAATTATAAAACTGTAAGTGAATCAGTGTTTGCTACAGAAAAGTTTCTATTCTATGTCCTAAATGTCTGATGCAGCGTGACGACATATATTTGTTTGATGAACGGAAGCAATCAAGCGCAAATGAAGGGCAAAAGGCTATGCAGGATAATTATTTGTGTCTGAAGTTTGATTAACTTTGATAGCCCTTGGAGGAGGAAAAAGAAAGAAATGAGAGATGGTAGCAAGTTGCGAAATCATTTAAGATGTCTCAAACATGTGTGATTTACTGTTCAGTTATTTCAAGATGTTTCGTAGTAATACTTTCATCATTGCAAACAAACCATAAATGAAACTACAATGCCTATTTATGATCATTTCTCAAAGATAGGCTGTCTCAGAATTTCATTGAAATGAAAGTGTTTTAATTTAGTGATTACATCAGCGCCCTGCCTATTTCTTCAACATATTCACGACAAGGGCAATTTTTCGATTACTGCCGTTTTGGACCAGAGCCTTTTTCGCTTCGATTCACTTTACGACCCACCTGTGGGTCGCATTGTCCGAAATGGGAAAAATTCAAAATGTCACCGATAGTTCCTCCAGAAGGGTTATCTAAAGCGCTGATTATCAGATTATAATTTGATTCAGTCTTTGGCATCGTACGATACAGTAGTCATTCCGTACGAATCCAACATCATGGATTTTCATGAAGAATCGTGTTTTTGGGTTATTTTACGCGTTGGTCACGATTATAGTGTCCAATTTTTTCACTACTGTCCCACAGTGCGGCTGAGATAGCAGTACGGTAGAATTGTCGTAAAAATTAAAAAACTGATGTAAGAAGGCGGAAATAGAATTGGAGGCTATCATTTTCGTAGTCAGCATTCTACAAAACCTATATATGGTTGATCTTCCTAGGATGAACAATGCAAAAATCGATAAAATCGATTATTTCCTGATGGGCTAACATCATTCTCTTGCGCGCACCGTATTTCTTGTACATGTACAATTGAATTTTCAAAAATAACATCATTCTGCGAAGAATTTGAGCTAAAGTCTGCGTATCATCTCTACTACGGTGTACCTTACCGTAACATTTTACCGTATCCCGCGCCCGGACTACTCTGGCTCAAGCTTCCCCTAGGTGTATCCAATCCACTGGCGTACCGAGGGGGGAGGCGGGGAGGATGCGCGCCCCCCCTCGAGAATGGGTCGCTAAATTTTTGAAAGTTACTTAAATGCATTATAAAAATGTGGAGAGGACTTGTTTTTACTTGTAAATAATTAAAATAATTTTTAGAAATTTTTAAAAATTCAAATTAGCCTTTCAAAAAAAATTTTTCGCCCCTTTTGTCTGAAATTTTGGAATCAGGGGTCCGGAAAAATTTTTGTCGCGCCCACCCCCCCCCCCGAGCCGAAATCCTGGGTACGCCACTGCCCCAATCATGTGCCAAAACCCCGTAAAATTCCATTGTAAACTAGCAAAGCTAGAGCGCCAGGAATCTTACGACCCACCGGTGGGTCGTATCGTTCAAAATGGCAGAACACGTACGACCCACCGGTGGGTCGCATTGTCGTGAATGTGCTAAGGAAAGGTAAGGAAGTGATATCGAATATTTCGCAGAGATGTTTCGAAATTCATTCTGAGTGCAACATAGATAAGGGTCTATACCTTGACAAGAAGTAAGTCGCGGTAGCTGTGCTACAGAATGTGACCAAGAGGAAGCGTTTGTGTAAAGATCACCAACGAGACAGTGGCTAGACTGTTTACACTTTGTAAGGTAGCATAAAGGATGACTAAGCTATCATATTTGCTGCAGTTATGTCACGCAAGTTGCACTCACTGTATCACATAGAAGATTTCTAGCCAATGCTAGCTTTATCTACAAACTTACAACAGAAGCTTGATCTCGATTTTACGATAATTTCGAGCGCACATATTGTGTAAACTATACAATGGGGCAGTGTTTAGAAATTCACATTACAAAAGCCAGTCCTGCATTTTAACGAAGCTTCATCGGCGAGTGCTTTAGGTCCTCATCTGCTCAGATGTTCGTCTTTATTGCTTTCTGCGCTCATCTCATCACTGAGATCGCGTAATCTAATGATCTTGTGTAAATTGTGAGATGCTCTCATCGTCCTACAGAGTTTCTGCACTTTGTTTTTTATCGCATCCATTGCTGTTGGATTCTATTTATATTCATGTGTCAAGAGTATTTCTTACTTACAATTAGTCCCTTTTGCTTTTAAGCAGGCAACCTATGTATGCCGTAAAATGTCTAACTATGGAACTTTAAAAATGCCTAAAAAGGGAAGAATACTTGGTGACCGTGGCCTTTCGAAATGAAACGTGCACCATTAAATGCATTTTGAAGCGCTGATTTTAAATCTGGCTTCGTTATCTGCTGGGCACTCTTCCGAAGGGAAGTTATTAACACTTTTTATGCCAAAAATTTGCACTGTTTTGATGACATGATTCACCGATATTGTTCAAATGGTCATTTACGACAATGAAGGAGGGCCAAAGAAAACAAAGCTTTACGTTAAGCGCAGGAAAGTTATCCTTGTCATATCCTAGTCTAAGAAGCCTGGATACTGGCGATTCTGACAGCCTAGTGAAATTAGTTTGGAGGGAATTCCATTGTTCAGAGAGTCGCACAACAAATATTGAACATAAATTTGGAAGCAGCGTTTAAGGCGCCACTACTGGTATAGATATCACTGCAAAAGGTCACGGTCACCAAGAGTATTCTTCCCTTGTAAGTTTTTGAGACACATGTGGCCAACTGATACTGAAAGAAAATGTTTCAAATATATGGTTATTGAAAAAATACAGAATTAGGTTAAATAACATCACAAATTTCACAGATTGTCACAAAAATCTCGATGCATTTTGAGAAAAGGATTGATCAAGAGAAACCAGATTAATTCGAAGAGTTAATACAAAGAACGGATCGAGTTCAGATTAAAAGAAGGATTGAAATAATGCATAGAAAATGAAAATCGAGATGATTCAAGTTTTAGCGTGCGGAGATGTACGAAGAACTTTCTGAGAAACTGGAGAAAATTCCAAAGAAATCACATGTTTTAGTCTCATCCATCAGGAGGACAAAACTTGTAAGTATTCAATCAACCATTAAGCATGTAATGTGGAAAAAGTCTGAGAGCTATGAATAATTTGTGAATGACACTGAGTGATTTATCATCTCTAATCTCTTATTTTATTGAGTCTGCTAGAAGTTTTACGAGACAGAAGGCTACTGAATACATCAAAATAATCTACCTTTTGCCAGGGTAACAGTTTTTTTTCCGCTGATTGCTCTTGACGTCAAAATTGTGTTCGAGTTTTTCTTGACAAATGAGATGCCCTTTTACAATGGTAAACCTACTTATGTATAAATGAATATATTCGAATAGGGTTAGCATAAGAAAATCATGATTCGTGAATCCAACCTGAAAAATGAACAAACCCAGTCTGCCCTTGTGGCAAAGAGTTCTTTGCTCAGCTATGTAACGATTGCCATTTTTGAAAAATATGATGTACGAATAAATCTGCCGTTCAATTCTCTATGCTTAATCTAATTTAGTTGTTAAGCCTAAAATTCACACACTAGGCGAGATTATGCAAAAATACGAGGAATGCTGGGTTCCTAATTAGTTGCGGAGAGACAGGAGCGTTCTGCGAAGTACTCATTATGAGTCACTTAACCATTCATGATTAAATCTTTGCGTGACGGAGATGCAGAGAGATTCTTAGTTCTTTGATCTCTCATTGGAATGTATCTAGGCGAGAAGTTATATCCAGAGTTACCTAAAAAGGGGTCTGAACGAAACTGTAAGACACTGGTAAGATTGAAGTTTTAGAACGACCCTACTGAAAAATCTAAATATGAATAAAACTGAAACTCTGTGAATTTGTTCGTTAGTAAGTATGGCTTACAGACTCTTCAGCAAAGAAGACATATCACAGTTTCGTCGCAGATGTGGAGAAAGGTGACAAGTCTCAGCGCATTTGGGATCAAGTAGTTCCCAGGGGGGACCGAGGACGCCATCTAGTGGGGAATATGTTGGAGTCCAGCGTAATGAAAAGCAGCCTGACGAGTACGGCACAATAAGAAAACAACGGCTTGTTGGACGATGGCTTTAATAGTCGCCGATCATGATATCAGTATGCTGGACTCCTAGTATGGTAGGAGAATACGGATGTTCCCAGCGTGGAATAGCAATTTACTCGACTCGCAAACATGCTCTCTAATGTTCAAGTTGAAACTTAT